CATGTCACCCCTTTCCTTTTGTCACCCCACTGTCCCCATGTCACCCATCCCCATGTCACCCCATTGTCCCCGTGTCACCCCACTGTCCCCATGTCACCCATTTCCATGTCACCCCCATCCCCTTGTCACCCACCCCATGTCACCCCTGTCCCCATATCAATCATCCCCACGTCACCCCTTTCCTTTTGTCACCCCAGTGCCCCCATGTCACCCATCCCCATGTCACCCCATCGTCCCCATGTCACCCCACTGTCCCCGTGTCACCCACAGCACATCACCGACCACCTATCAGCACTGAGGGCCGGGTGGCAGCTGAACCTGGACACCTTTTCATCCCCCACCCCTCGTGGGACGGTGACCTTCTCCAACCTGGTGGCCACGCTGTCCCCCTCGGCCCCTCGCCGCCTGGCACTGGCGTGTCACTACGACACCAAAGTGTTGCCATCACCCGGAGCTGCTGCCTTCATTGGGGCCACCGACTCAGCCGTGCCGTGCGCCATGCTGATGGAGGTGGCAGCTGCCCTGGATGGGCCCTTACGGAACGCCAAGGAGGGGGTGGGTGGGTGCTGGGACCCCCCCCCTTCTCCCCCCCCCCTAACTTGGGACAGATGGGTCACTTCATGGGACGCTCTGTGATGGGATTCCTGGGTCCCTCCTGACCCCCTCCGTGGATGTCTGGTGTCCCCCCCCCTCCATGGGTCATCTTGGACCCCCAATTGAGTCCCTCTTGACTCCCCCCCATGGACACCTGGACTTCCCTATGGGTCACCTGAGTCACTGCTGACCCCTCCGGGGACACCTGAACCACCCCATGGGTCATCTGGGACCCCCAGTATGTCCCTCCTAACCCCCCCTTGGACACTGGGACCACCTCATGGGACATCCAGGACCCCTCATTGGACACCTGGGTCTCTCCTGGCAACCCCAGGGACACCCGGACCCCCCCCCCATGTGACACCTGGGTCCCTCCTGACCCCCCCCGGGGCAACTGGGCCCCACCGTGGGACACCTGCACCCTCCTGATACCCCCATATGTCACCTGGGTCCCTCCTGACCCCCACAGTGGGACCCCCTCCCCACCCGCAGCCATTGATGTCCACCCTCTCAGGATGCAGAGGTGACACTGCAGCTGCTGTTCCTGGATGGAGAAGAGGCCTTTGAGGAATGGAGTGCCACCGATTCTCTGTACGGTGCCCGGCACCTCGCGGCACGCATGGCAGCCACCCGGCACGGTGCGCACGGCACGGAGCTCAGCGCCATGGTGAGCATCCCCAGCACAGCTGGTGGGGTCATGATGGGCTGGTGGCATCGTGGTGACATGGAGGTGGCCCAAC